TGATATCCCTTATGCATTCCTAAAGCACTTGTCTAATTATAGTCTTAAAAAACTCCTTAATTTATACAATATAATCTGGAGTTCCCATAAATTTCCATCTCAATGGAGCAAATCTATAGTTATACCAATACTCAAGCCAAACCAGCCAACTATGTTTCCACAATCTTACAGGCCCATCTCTCTCACATGCACTATGTGTAAGCTAATGGAAAAAATGATTAACAAACGTCTTTTGTGGTATTTTGAAAAACATAAGATTATTCCAAAGGAACAATCTGGCTACCAAAGACAGCGCTCCACAAGAGATAATCTAGTAATACTCCAAACCCACATCTCCAACGCAATAAATTGCAAGCAAGATTTGATAGCAACTATCTTTGATATAGAAGGCGCATTTGACACCATCTCTAGAAATGCAATCCTTGACAAACTTTTTGAATGTAACCTTACTGGCAACATATACGCATTTATCAAAAACTTCCTAACATCTAGATCGTTCAGGGTTTCTGTCAATAACTTCCTTTCTTCTCCACACATCCAATATGATGGAGTTCCGCAAGGTTCAGTTTTAAGCACATCCTTATTCATTCTTTCGATTAGCAAGTTAAGTGAAAATATAGCTCCACCAATCAAATGCGTATTATATGCCGATGACCTAATAATGTACTGTCATGGTAAATCCAACGCAACTACTAGTAAAATTCTACAAGTAGGAGTAAATGACCTACAAAACAAAGTAGCTTCTCTAGGACTTACCCTCTCCCACTCTAAATCCAAAGTTATTAAATTTAGCAGAAGAATGAGTTCTTTTGATCCGGAAATCACTATCAACAACTTCAAGTTACCGGTTGTTGATAATTGCAAAATATTAGGGCTGATATTTGATTCAAGATTAACCTGGAAACAACACATACAGGAACTTAAAGGAGTTTGCCTAAAAAGGTTAAATATACTCAAAACACTCTCACATTATCATTGGGGCGCGGAAGAAACTACTTTACTGAAAGTCTACAGATCACTTATCCGCTCTAAGCTAGACTATGGATGTTTCGTCTATATGTCTGGTACTAAATCAATATTAAATTCACTGAACACAGTTCACAATACAGCTATTCGTTTATGTCTTGGAGCATTCCGTTCTAGTCCGGCAGAAAGTCTGTACTGTGAAGCTAATGAACCTCCTCTATGGCTTAGACGAGAAAACCTTCTTCTCTCCTATGCTGCTGCAATTTCTTCCAATCCGTCCAATCCCGTATATCATCTATTTACATCATCACATCATACCCAAAACAGCCCTCCATGTAACTTAATTATACATCCTATTCCTAGTCTTCTACAACCGTTACTAAAAGATATAAATTTGTGTGAAACCAGAACTCTACCATTCTCCAATAATCCCTATTGGACCAACATACTCCCATATCATGATATTTCACTCACCAAGTTTAACAAGGAAGATACCAGTATTAGTACATTAAGAATTCTCTTCCTAGAACTTATAAACAAAAATAAATATAACATGGTTCTTTACACTGACGCGTCGAAGACTGAAGGTGGGGTTGGATATTCTGTAACCACTGTACAACAGCCTATCGAACTCTCTAAAATCTCTCCTTGGTGTAGTATCCACACTGGTGAACTACTAGCTATCTTACAAGCTTTTAAATATGCCCAACGATATACAAATACACACATAGCCATATGCTCCGATTCGCTTTCATCTATACACTCCATTAATGCTATATCCACCAAACATCCTATCGTCCAAGATATTCATGACATATATCAGCTTCTTATAAAACAAAATATAACTATCACTCTGATATGGGTACCATCCCATGTTGGTATTAGTGGTAACGAAAAAGCTGATTGCCTTGCCAAAAAAGCCGCATCATCCACGAACACCATTATAAACATACAAATTTGTAATGATCTGAAAGCCAGACTAAAGAAGCTTAATTTATCTACGTGGCAGATTCACTGGAATAATGTTACCTCAGCGCTGCATGAAATCAAACCTACAGTGAACCGTCTTACCTATCCCAGTTTATCTCGAAAAAATATGGCAATCATACGGAGACTGCGTATTGGACATACCCGTCTAACTCATGGCTACCTGATGACATCATCTCCACAACCAAAATGTCAACACTGCAATACGACTCTCCGAATCAGGCATATACTTATCGAATGCCCTTTATATGCCAAAATACGCCAACAGCTCAATATCAGTACTAACTTCAAAGAGGTCCTAAACAACACAGACGAAATCAACAAGGTCATCAAATTCCTCGAGAATAGTCAACTGCTCAACAAAATATAAATGTTATATTACAAGTTTTTATTATTTTCTCTGTATGTTAGATGTTAACTACATTTTATTTTGTAATTTATATTATATTACCATGTAAATCGTAACTCGTGCTAATGACCATAGATGTCACATGCACGTTAATTTAAATAAAAAAAAAAAAAAAAACTCTTACATTCTTCTTAAGGTGCCTTCTCCATTACTGAAGGTTGGCTATAACTACAGCAAATTGCTCTCTATCTTGAGCTGTTCTTAGTATCGCATGTGTGTCCATGCCTGTCCAGTCTCTTATGTTCTTCAACCAGGAGCATTTTCTTCTTCCTGGACCTCTTCTTCCTTCCACTTTCCCTTCCATTATAAGTCGTACTCTTACATTAGCTGTATTATTTACATAAAGTTTTTGTAATAAATATATTAGATGTTCTGGCGCACCCATTTCTCTAAGTATATGCCACATTTTAACTTATTTTACGGTATTGAAGGCATTGGAATAGTAAAAAAAAGCATAAATATGTTTCTATGTTAAACTCTCGAGAGTTTTCAATAATTTGACGAATAATAAGAATATTTTCTCTTGTTCCTCTACCTGGAACGAATCCGCATTGTTCTTGGGGAATTTGTGGTAGGAGAATTGATTTTAGTCTGTAATCGATGATGGATAGAAGTACCCAGTAAGTTACAAGAAGTGATATAAATGCTATTGTACGGTAATTTTTTATATATGGTAATAAACGTGAGTTTACCCCAGTCATTTGGCCACTTTCCCCAGCCATTCAAAGAATAAACATGTTTTATAAGTTCGTATCAAAACTTTTATTACAATCATTTCTTGTAACAAATATAAACATATATGAAGTAAAAAATCAATGACAACAACAACTGTGCAGATTTAAAAAACTTAAAATGCATCTATATATTCTAAATATAAATAAATAGAGTAACAAGAAGTTAGAAAAGTGAGAGGATTATTATCTAGCTGTTATACCTTTCTAAGCAGTTCAATTTTTAAGTGGAAGAAGCTTAATCGAATTAAAATAAACTGTATTTTATATAAAACTAAACAATGGATATATACTTATAAAAAATTCCAAAAATTTAAAAACTGCCTAGGATAAAATCGTAGTGGAACAAGGAGCAAAACAATAGTTAAACCACAGAGAGAAATGCGATAATCAACAAAGAAATTGTATTGGATCATGTTACGCTTCTCATACAAAGTATATTTTCATATTCATTCTTTAAAATGATACTAATTGATGTAGTAGTAGTAGTGTATTGCTTGCAGTTCCACTAAGCTATTAACCTAGAAGCGCCATCTATATTCTTCTAAAAGAATTATTTGATTGCGACTGAACCTTTTAGATATGCATAAATTAGGTTAGTATTTAAGAACAAAAATAAAAATGGAATAAAATTAAAAATACTCTAGTAAAAAAATGCCCGGTACACAATAACATTACCCAAAAGATTCAGTCAATATGTACAATATATAACAAAACTAATTTATATGCGTTATTTGTTGGATAAGGTAGGTATCTGTAAAGTGACAACGTTTTACGACTTTGGTAGTTACTTCCAAGGTTAAAAAACGTATCTATGAATTGGACTGTTGGATGTATAGTATGTCAAACACTAATGTAAGATAAATTACGTAAAGGTCGCTATGAAATTTACTAAACACGTCTCTAGGTTACATTAGGGACAAAAAAGTGACCAAGTGTATACTGTCTATTCGCGAAAATATATTGCATAATCTTTAGTTCTAGCACAAGGTAGTAGTAAAAGGGAGGTTGCATGGTAACTCTGACATTGACAGAATGAAATATGACGTGTGACGTCACCCAGGGGGTCAATTTTACGAATTGTTTGAAAACAAAATAGGAGAAGTGGTTTGGAAAATATATTTTGTTGTTAAATATCGTTAGTGCTTTAGGTTATGTTAATATCTTGAGATATAATATGTCTATAGATATTATTGAGTGATTTTTAGTATATAACTTGGACCCAAAACTCTTATACAAGTGTTAAGATACATTTTACTCAGTAACGTCATTCCCGCCATTAGATTCTCGACGCTGATTGGTGCAAAGTTACCAGACAACCTGTCTATTTTTAATAACCTTGATGAAACCAATGTATCGAAAGATTGCGCGACTACACACTAGGAGAAGTAGCATGATACCACAGAATAATAAACAAACAGAATGCCCACTCTCCACGGAAAATTAAGTACGCGCATCTCCTTCGCGCAGACGTTCCGCCATGTTTTACGAGGATTTTAAAGGGAACCAGTGTTGTTTATGAGGTGTGCATGGAAGAAAAAACAGGTTTATTTGACTTACTGCAATCATAGACATACTATACAATTATATTAACAGTTTTTAAATATAATATATAATTAAACATAGATGTAAACAATTGCATAACCTCACAAATCATATGTTTGTGTCCTCCTAAAACATGGCGCGCGTGCTGAAAAACTTCAAAAGCGGCATCTGAGAGTGGCCCTTCTGATTGTTTATTATTCTGTGATGATACTATGAACTAAAGATAAACCCACGCGCACGCGATAAGTCTATCCCTTTTGCTCGGTGTGACGTCACTTGGCGACAATTGTGGTCACTTGGCGATAAATGTGTGCACTTTTTGATAAAATATATTTCAGAATATTAAATTAAGATAAACTTTCATGCACGACAAAGTTGTACAAATTTGGTACTTAATCTCGAGGTTAAAACACATATCTGGACTGGATTATTGTATGTATAGAATGCCAGACACAATGGCACTTACTGTACGTAGGACACTTAATCTTTTCCAACAATTAACGCACTAATAACTGTAACTACTACTTAAATACACAGTTAAATTTGTTGACTCGATGTATAAAAATATGGAGCATGGTAAAAAATGCATTGTTATGGAATGACAATTTACTAGTTGTTAAATCTGTATATCTTGTTTTATAATTCGTCGTGTTTAGGACCGGAGAATTCTGCATGAGAGATGAATCCGTTTTTGTCTTGATCTTCGTGTTGGAAGATTTCTTCTACTAATTTGTCGTGATCTGCTAACATGTTCTTCATTTCGTCACTTGGAACTTGGTCTTCTGCTGCTACCATTTGTTTTCTGAGGTAGTCGCTCAACTAAAACAAACAACAATTAGACATTCAGTGGTGCTGTCCAGTTTTGTGGTCTACTCTAATATGCAAGATGAAACAGTACAGAAGTATGGAAAATATGCAATGCTAAATTTAGTTTACTCTAAAATGTTGCACAATATCTAACTCAATAGCAGAAGCTTTAGAAAGGTAGTTGAACTTGAACTGAACAAAACTTTGTATACAATACTTCAGCAACAGATAAATACTTAAATCATTTTATAATAACAGAGGGTAATGATGCGCTTTATAATAGGCAGAGCGGTTTACCTCTCAAAAGACGCTTAGAAACAGAATATACCGACTAAAATTCTTTTTGCATTTCTAATGCACCAAATCTTTTTTATTCGATTCTATATATTTTTCCAAGATGAAATGTATTTTTTTTTAATTTTTACAAGTGGGCCGACAAATTGTTATTAACAAATAACTTATACAAAAAAGCAATTTTACGGATTTGCTTCGGAAACAATTTTTTTAGGTGTATCTCATTAAATTAAACACTTTTTCTCTCTAGATAATTTTCGAAAAATGCTTCCTTTTCTATTTATTTGCATTTTTTGTTGAAAAAATGCCTATAATTAGTGCTTTTTGGGATTTTTTTTCTAAAAAACTACTAAATGAATTATACAAATAGCTTTCTACATTCTACAAATAGCTTTATAATCTTTAAACCGTCGAGTACAAGTTAAGAGGAATATTTTGACAAGGATAATTTTTTTCTATCTTGCTAAAAACGTGGACCCAAATATTTCGAATATGCCTTTCCAGCAGTCTACCCCTATAGTGTATTTTTATGTATGAGAGAGTAATAAAACAATAAATTATGTATGCAAATTCCTAAACTGTTGATACGGGTGACTCAATGAAAAACAGATATTTGTCAACAAGTTTACAGAAGTATATAGGAAAACAATTTTAAATTGAGTATGACCACCAGGTATAAAGGTTGGAGCAGAATAGAATACAATAGTTGTGAGGGTTACTAATCCCTAAATAAGGTTGCCAGTGTCGGAGTGATGGAGGTTAACAGGTACTAATGAATTTGCAAGAAATGTAAGATGTTTATTTTATTGGTTATATATAACCAATAAAAGTTTAATAAGTACCTACCTATTTGCAAAATAAAGTTTAATTCTTTAGATAAAATAAAACGTTTTATTTTATCTGAAATGAGTGCATTCCACGAAGTAAGGGTTTCAACAATCAAACATTTAATTCTTTAATTCCAGGAATCTACGACAGTAATTGACTAGATAATTACCTTCTAAACTTATTCCACAGAAAATGTGATAGTGGGTTTTTCCATTTTGTAGGAAGGTCCAAGTGGCGTATTCAAAATTCTTAACAGTTCACTAAAAGTAGGTACTTCAGTTGCAAGGTGCAGTTTATTGTGTATACTAGTGTTATGGAAAATTTGGAAGTGCCGTGTAAACGCCGAAAAATTGGTCCTTTAACAGTTAATAAAAAAACATTAATATTTAATTGTTTTAAATCATTTACAGACAAACGTTTATGTGAAAGTGTTGATGAGACCGTTGAGTTAGTTAGCAGTACACTTGGTGTTGGGAAATCTACGATTTACAGAGTTATTAAAGAAGAGAAATGTGGTAGTTTTCAAATGCCACGTAATGCTCCAGGGAAACCAAAATTTCAAATAGAATATCATTTTAAAGAAGGACTTCGACGGAAAGTGCATGAATTCTTCTTTAGACAAGAATTTCCAACATTGGATAAAGTTCTTGTCTCAGTTCGAGATGATAAGGATTACCCAGAAATGAGTCGAAGTACGTTATGGAAACTTTTAAAAGAAATAGGCTTCCGCTGGAAAAAGAATCCCAGAAAGTCTATTTTATTAGAAAGAAGCGATATTGTCATATGGAGAAGACATTTTCTAAGAACCATAAAGGAAATGAGAAACCAAAAAAGAAAAATATTTTATCTTGATGAAACATGGATCAACGAGGGTCATACACCAAATAAATTTTGGCAGGATGAAACTGTTACAAGTCAAAGGCACGCTTTTGTAAATAACTTATCTACTGGTTTAAACCCACATCAGGAAAGGGACGCAGGCTGATAATAGTACACATTGGCAGTTCAGACGGTTTTGTTCAAAAAGAGTTTCAAAAAATATTACGTACCATCCCGGATCTATAAGAAAGGAACTTTATTCGTTGTGTGCCCTTCATAAAGAAAAATTTAAAAAATATGAAATTGATGAAATTGCCAAAAATCGTGGAATGACAGTACTTAGATCCCCACCATATCAATTGTGAATTAAACCCGATTGACTGGTATGGGCACAGATATATAATAATAAATAATAATATGTTTATTATCCATATACATTTATAAAAGAACAATAATTTAAGTATGTTATTTACACATCGAAAATAAACATCTGGTACTACACCGTATAAAGAGTGAAGTTTCAAGAAAAAATACCACTTTTAAAATTCATGATGTTAAACAGTTGTTTTTGGAGGCCGTAAATAATGTAAAACCTGAAAACTGGGAAAAGGCAGTAAATCACACTATTAAAGAAGAGGAAAAAATGTGGAAGCTGGACAATATTACTGATAAAATGATCGAGCCAGTTATTATAAATCTTGGTTCTGAAAGTTCATCTTCTGAATCTGATTTGGATTTGTAACAAGTAGCTGTAAGTTTTATATTAATATTTTTATTCATCTATTTAACATACCTTAGACGGTTTTAAAAACTCTTTTTCTCTTTTGTAATTTTTAAAAATTAAAAAAAATGTGAATTTTTTAAAACCCTTTTTAATGAAGGCCAGTCAGTTCTAATATAGTGTGTGATAAAAGAGGTCACTTTTGTTTACATACACATAACACTTTATAACACTGAAATAATTCATTTATTTTTTACAATTATTCAAAGTAATTTTTCAATTAATCTTGAGCACGCCCATGGAGTGGTCGGAGATATCAGTTAAAATTATGCTAATTACTCTCTCGTTCATAAAAATAAACTATAAGTGTGTACAGCGGTTGCGGCGATACAGGCGTGCAGCGCCTAGAAATATTTGTTTAAATTTAAAAAATTAATTCAATACAAATATTACGTACAATTTATTAAAAAAAAAGATATTTCTAATTATTTTTATATAGACCATATTATAATTAAAACAATTAAAATTAATTTTTTACAATGCTCTAATAATGTAATTTTTCTTTTAATATACCTAGGTGACTATATTATTGAATGTTTTCCAACACAATAAAGCACAAATTTTCCCAATCAAAACTTACAACTTTGGATCTTAAGATTTTGTTATTGTCCAAAAAGTCGACTTGTTCAGAAGCGGATTTTTTTTCTTCGACACATTTTTATCACAATCAACGAAACGCAACGAAAATCGTTTGTAATCTCACAATGGACTTTACATTATATAAGTGTTTTCAACAAAAAAATGCAAATAACTCGAAAAGGAAGCATTTTTCGAAAAATTATCAAGAAAGAAAAAGTGTTTATTTTGATGAGATACACCTAAAAAATTGATTCCGAAGCAATTCGGTGAAATTGCTTTTTTGTATAAGATATTTGTTAATAAAAATTGCCGGCCTACTTGTAAAATTTAAAAAAATACATTTCATCTTGGAAAATATATACAATCGAATAAAAAAGGTTTGGTGCATTAGAAATGCAAAAAGAATTTTAGTCGGTTGATGCTCTGCTTATTGGGGTAAACCGCTCGCCTATAAGTGTTGTTTCCAGATAGCACCTCTAGCCTCTCCTAACCAATTCCTATCCTCACCATCCTCATCGTCACACGGATGAACCCTGGTAACCTAAAGAACTCTAGTGGACATTATGTAACCAATCCTAATAGAACGCAGGGTCGTGCCTGACGAGGAATGAAGCTTACTGATCAACGGTATGAGCTGATAAGTGAAAAACCACTCTTTTGTCCTGATATTGACAAAGTGGTATCAAAAGCAAATGAGCCATGAATGGTCACTGACACAAGAATGCAAAAGGCAAGGAGACATCACTACATTAAAGATCCCTAAGGATATCTTAAGAAAAATCACTAATGGAAAGTCATAACCAAAATAGAACAGGGGTGTGATTTTGATCTGTTTAATTCTGAAGCAGGTCTTGAACCGGGCGGGTTGTTTTAATTTCCTGGGAGGTAGATTGCCAACTATCCCTCCATCTTTTAGGTGTTCTTCCGGGAGGTCTTAAGCCGGGCGGGTTGTTTCCTAGGGCAATTTTTGGGAGTCTGTTCTTATCTATTCATCTTACCGCATCCTCTTATGCTGCCTTCCCCATCTCACAATATCTTGAATTTTGTACTGCTCTCTAACGTTTGTATTTCTCACCCTGTCTCTTCTTGTTTTGCCCACTATTGTTCTTGGGGTTTTTATTTCGGCAACCCTTAGCAACTGTTTCGTTTTACAACTAGCGGGAGTAGTTTTTTGTTATCGGACTCTCAGTCCGGGCGGCATCTAAACATTCCGTATATGTATTCGGCACCTAGGACTTTTCTATTGGTTCTTTGCGGCACGCGGCAATGTGTCAACCAATAGGCGGCGAGGTGCCAGACACGTATACGGAATGTTAGTCTGGTGCCAAATTCATATACGGAATGTTAAAAATATTCATAAACCAAAATAGACAACTTTTTATTAAAATGAGTTAAAAGGAAACTGATTCTAAAATATTTGTTAATGTGTGATTAAGGAAATTAAAAGAATGCAATAAGAAATAAAACAAAATATATTTAAATAAATTAAAAAAATTTCAAATGTTTAAAATGTAATATTTATGCGTAATTCAACGCCCTTCGCCATGTTTCGTTGCATTTGTTTGATTTTGTTGCGATATTGGACGAAAGATTGTGACTCCTTTTGAATCTTTTTTTAGGAGGTTCATCTTTAGGTGGTCTTCCAAATGGTAATCTTTTTGATCCTCTAGTAACTCCCAACTTTCTTCGACTGATTGAAGTAGGTTGCACT